TGAAATATAATGTGTTCACGATATTTTTTCTTTATTTAACTTAATCATTTAAAGTATTTTCAGATTCATGTTGCTGCTACTGTTACTTATGGACTAAGTTGATGGCGGGAAAAAGGGGTGAAGTGGGTGAGGATAATTTTACCCTTATTTATGGAAAGAAAAAGGTATTTTTGTATTTAATTAATGGAAAAACTGAAGGAATATGGACGGAAGGACGTCCGGCGCAAAATGAGGGCAAAAATGCCAAAAAATGAAAGGTAGGGACATTTTCCACAATAGACTTGAAAGGTATGGACGTTTTGTGCCAATTACCCTTTAATTAACGAAAAAACTGACGGAATATGGACGGAAGGACGTCCAGCGCAAAGAAAGGTTGAAATGAGGGCAAAAATGCCAAAAAATAAAAGATAGGGACGTTTTCCACAATAGACTTGAAAAGTAGGGACGTTTTGTGCCAATTAGCTTTAGGTAAAATATAACCTTCATTAAACCTAAATCTAACACACAATTACCAAAACACCCTTCGTTCGCAACTACTTCTCTTTAGGCGAAGCTTCCAAAGGGTCCCTTTATCCTTTCTCCCCCAACTACTACTCAGTTATAAACAAAGGCTCTGTCCCGAAAGATCTGACGTTGGTCTCTCCGAAGTCTTATTGTTGGTACAAAAACCAAAAATTCAGATGGCTGCTGCTTTGGTTGCTAACGGCGAAATCGCCACCGTCAAGTCCTCCGTCTACAGTGAAGTACAGAACAGTCGCCTCGATCACCCTCTCCCTCTTCCCTCTGTCCTCAGAAGCGCCTTCAAAGTCGTCGATGGACCACGTAGCTCCGCTGCCGGCAATCCTGGTATGTATTTACCCATTTGCATACACATATACCCCCACTCTCAATGTTTAAGTACTTTGCTCCGTGATGTAATGTATGTAACATACAAATAGGAAGTTGATCTGCTGATGAACGCATTCTGTGATCTCGTAAATGCACGCGACTACTTTTGGTTCTGAACTGAGGGATTAAGTTGTTAACATTTTGTGTGTGTGTGTGTTAATTTATTGAGATTTGCCGGTCTGAGAATGTACTTCGTGATCTCTGGAACTGTTAATGTTATTCTTTTGCTAGATGATGGAAATTGGTTGAGGTCTAAGAAAGTAGAGTATTGAATGAAATTGAATATGAAATTTTGTTTCATTTAGTTTAGCTTGTAGATCTGGATAATCGTAGCCTCTATAAACGTGAAAATGGACTTTTTATTTTGGTTCTTGGCTAATAATTGGAAGAATAGAGTAAATTTCAGTTATGAGATTGCTGATTGATGCATGGTCAAAGTTTCATTTTGGTGGGTTAACGTACATCTTTTGATTGAACTTGGATATTTAATATCCAGCACCATCTTGGTGCAAACATTTTCATTCTCCGGCCTCTCCAACAGTGCTCTAAACTGAATTTGATGATTGTTGGTTGAATCCAGATGAGATTGCCAAATTGTTTCCATCCATGTTTGGACAACCACCAGCAATGTTAGTACCAGGTGCTTCAAGTGATACCCCATCAGTTCAAGGGTTGAAGATCGGAGTGGTGTTGTCTGGAGGGCAAGCTCCAGGAGGACACAATGTCATTTCTGGAATTTTTGGTTAGGATCTTCTAGTTTTCACTGTCTGTGCTTGCGCACTGAAATGTTTTCTTTCTGAATTGAATGGTCTAATTTTTATTTATGGGTTACAGATTACTTGCAGGAGCGCTGCAAAGGGACGATATTGTATGGGTTCAGAGGTGGACCAGCTGGGATCATGAAATGCAAATATGCGATTTTGACCCCAGAGTATATTTATCCTTACAGAAATCAGGTATTTTCTTCTTTATGTACATGATATTCTTATTATTATGCTGATTCATTTAAATGCAAAGAAATTATTTGAAACCCTAATGCATTCTATTCTCTATGCAGCATTCCAATCGTTTTGCTTTTGTTTTATTCTTTTTTGCCTTTTGGCTGGACTTGGTTAACTTCATCTGGGATGAAATTGCTTTGTTCATGTTGAATTATTAAAGATTAGAGTTCAATTGCCATTTTTTGTATCAGTTTAAATTACGTTTGACTTTCCATTTAATCATCTCACATATTTGACTATGATTGTGTGCTAATTTGGCGAAAGCCTAGATTATTTAATTTAAGTAGCATCTATCTTAATCAAAGTATTTCTATCAGGGTGGATTTGACATGATTTGCAGTGGAAGGGACAAAATTGAAACTCCAGAGCAGGTATGTTTACTTCTACTTGCGAAAGTTGTATATGGATAAGTCCTCCCCCCCTTGAGACTGGGAGACTTAAAAAAATTCATTTCAGTTTAAACAAGCTGAAGAAACAGCACTAAAGCTTGACTTAGATGGGCTTGTTGTAATTGGTGGAGATGACTCAAACACAAATGCTTGCCTTCTAGCAGAAAACTTTAGGTAAGTATTCTATTTCATATAAAAATTTCTCATCACCTCTGGTTTTATTTTTATTTTTTTTCCAATTTGCACTTATGAATCTATGTCTTTATAATGGCATACCATTAAGGGGTTGTTTGAGCCCCCTCTTTCTCTTTATTTTTATTTTTATTTTTTTTCAAAAAATGCATTTTGAAATAATGTTATGATGGAGAATGTATGGTTAAAAAAAAAAAAGGGTTTTGCGTTTACATATAATATTATTTTATTGAAAATTGTGTGGCTGAATTGATGTCAAATAACTATTGAAGAATTTATTTTGATAAAAAAATGGGGCTCAAACAAGGGCTAATTGGCTATGTATATTGATTTTCTAGCTTATAGATTGTTGCGTTGACTTTAAGCTTTTATTTTTGTGATATTTCAGGAGTAAAAATCTGAAAACTAGGGTCATTGGATGTCCGAAGACCATCGACGGTGACTTGAAATGCAAAGAGGTTCCCACAAGTTTTGGGTTCGATACCGCATGCAAGGTGATTTTAACATTCAAGAATTGGTATAGGAACAAGGGAGTACAACTCAAGTGGAAAAATGTGAAAGAAATACTGAAATTTAGATAAATTTATCTACATCCGATAATAATGCTAATGTCTTCCAGGTTGCATTGGCATTTTACTCCACAAACACCTTTTGGCCATTGTCCCACAGTTCTTCCACAATATGCCAATGGAGCTGTTTCACAACCAATAATCAACGCTGTTGGCATGATATTAATCATCACTAGCATTCAACTCTAAAGATTGCAATCACGAAGTAGGTAGTTGTGATGTTTCCTTGAATGAAAACCTCCTCAGCGGCAATTCATACTTCCTATTAATATGGAGCTGTGAAATCAAACTGGCAGCTCCTATTTTTCCTGCTTGATGGTAACAGTATCTTTTCCACATATAAAGATACTTGGTCAAATTCCTAAAGTGTGTTCTGCCTTCTCGTCTCACACTCGGTCAAGATTTTAAATAACATTAATTTCCAAGCAAATTTTTTTGTCAAAATTCTTTCTCTTCTGTTCTCATGATTCCATTTTAAGAATAATGCCTCTTGAGGAATAGTTAAATGTACCATTCAACTTCACATGCAGTTTGTCAAGAATCTTGTTATTTTTTACCATTTGAAAGCAGTTTGTGATAAATTGGCAGTTTCTATTCAACTTGTCCAGATATATGCTGAAATGATTGGAAATGTCATGGTAGATGCCCGTTCAACTGGAAAATACTACCATTGTAAGTGCACTACTTCTTGTTATATACATAGGAAAGAACCAAGTTTTCCTTCGTCTATTTTCCATGTGAGAATTTTTTCTGTGCACATGCCACCTGCAGCTGTATGTTTAACACTTCACTTTAATATTAAAGGAGCTTAATGGAATTCAAAAATATATTCTCTTTATATTTGAGATTCAAAGATAGTAAGGTGTTATGATTCTTTTTGCATTCCAGGGCTTTGTTCTTGTTTGTCTGTCTCTATCACAGTTAAGACCATAGCTGTTCCTATTCTTTTCAGAAAAAGAATACCGAAATTGAATGCCATCATTCCTTTCTTAAAATGTTCCTAACCATATCCAGTTTGCTAAGATAAGCATTTCTTCTCATTGTTCTTACTCAAATACTATTGATGGCATCCCCGCTTCTGTACTTATATGCAGTAAAAACACATGGCCTGACTCTTAGCTTTTTTGACATATGTCAAGAGACAATTAAATTGTTAAAAAAGGGGGGGAAGGGTAAAACTCTTCTGAACTCCTTCATCAATAATCAGGCCAAGTCAAGATGAAGGCAATTCGGGACTGTGGTGTATTACTTGAAATTTTCTAATAACTAGTGGTTTCACATCTGTAGGAACCATTTTTACCATCAGCTTTCTTAAACTGGATACATACCTCCATTAGGATCTGAATTCTTGTGGATATTTAAAAAATATTGATGGAATTATTTAGACAAATTTTATCTTGTCGTGTGATTTCTTTTGCTGTTCTTGATTGTTTATCTAATTCTTACTGATCTTACGTCATCATTCCATCTATATTTGAAAACTCACTGAATGACTCACTCTTTATTTATAATTTGATTCATTTGCTATTTATCAGATAAATGAGTCCACCTATTCTCCCTTAGCTAGACAATATTTTCTTTTCGATCAATACTCATTTGTCTCTACTCTTTTGTACTATTATTTTTTTATGCGACAAATACAACGTTAATGTGTATAGAAGTGTAAAGGCATTAACATGTGTAAATATTTCCAGTTGTTCGACTTATGGGGCGTGCTGCTTCACACATTACCTTAGAATGTGCTTTGCAAACTCATCCAAACATCACTCTTATTGGAGAAGAGGTAGCTTTCTTGATTTGTCATTCCTCTTCCCATATACCTAGTTTAATAGTGCAGCTTCCCATCGAAAAATAAGTGTATTAGCAGATTGTTTGAGCTTTAAGTTCCGTCTTTTCTACTTGTATTTGACATATTGTTTAATTCGCGAAAAGGAAGGAAAAGGAACTAGAAGCGATGCTTGAGGAACAATTGNTCTTTTCTACTTGTATTTGACATATTGTTTAATTCGCGAAAAGGAAGGAAAAGGAACTAGAAGCGATGCTTGAGGAACAATTGCGAACTAACATGTAGGTCAACAGAGATTGTTATTAAGAGACAAATGAAGATTTACAACCTAAAGATTATGACGTACTTGATAGCTAAAAACTGAAGGCAAAAGTCGTCTAATTAGTTAGAAAGGCAATTCCAGCATCTTTGTAGCTCAGTCAAAGATATCTAGAAGAAATCTTCTAAGGCTTGGTCCACTAATATGCTAAGAAGAATGGAGAGACAAAAGCATTCTTAGGAATCTAAGGAACGTTAACTTGCATTGAATTAATATGCTAGGATATGAAGGCAGTGTGCAATTTCATATTGTTTCAGTGTGGATGGAACACAAGCTTGTGTGTTTGTTTAAGGTATATACAAACAGACAAGACGAACATCAATGGGTGAATAATTTATGTTTTTTACCCACCTTCTTACATGCCGGCTGGAGTCCAGGCCTAGCATGTGCAATCACCTGAGAGTGGGAACTATACTTGATGCCAAGACCTTTGCCTTCTAGTTTTCATGTTGAATTGGGTGAACGTTGTGTAGATATGTTTATTTTAACCTATTTTAAATTTATATTGATGAATACTTTTCACAAGGGGCAAGTGAACAATTCCCTTTCATCTTGTGAGCTTATGATTATTAGAATTGTGAAATAAATTCTAAAAGCATGAAATTGGCCTAGGTTTTGAAGCATATTGCCCACACTGAGAAATTAAAAAGATAATGAATAGAGGCATCTTAGGGTTAAAGTTTCGATTTTAAATAGATACTTGTACATTTTATGAAGAACTTCCTACGTTGAGGTTTTCATTCTTAAGTAGTTATAATCTTGCTGCAGGTTGCTGCAAATAAGCAGACTCTTAAAAGTGTTACAGACAACATTGCTGATGTGATATGCAAACGTGCAGAACTAGGTTATAATTATGGTGTGATACTCATCCCAGAAGGACTTATAGATTTCATTCCAGAGGTGAAATTATGTTTTGTGATTTTCTTTAGAAATACTTCTTTATTTCTCATAGTCCCCCTTGGCTCCTCCAAGCGTGGCCATAACACATATATTTCTCTGCAGAATTTATTTTGCCCCTCCTTTGATCTATTGTTTTCCGTGCTGTTTTGCTTATATTTATCTGTGATTTACAGGTCCAGCATCTAATTGCAGAACTGAATGAAATATTGGCCCATGAAACTGTTGATGAAGCTGGTCTTTGGAAAAAGAAACTTGATTCCAAGTCTCTTCAGCTTTTTGAACTTTTACCTCCAGCAATCCAGGATCAATTGATGCTTGAAAGGGATCCACATGGAAATGTCCAGGCATATGCTTTAACCTTTTAAATGTTTAAATTCATATTTCTGAATCTTGGTGTGTAGGTGGGTTATATGTTATTGTTTAATCCTCTTCCAGGTTGCCAAAATTGAGACAGAGAAAATGCTCATTCAAATGGTTGAAACTGAGTTGGAGCTAAGGAAGCAAGGGGGTGTATATAAAGGCCATTTCAAAGGACAGTCCCACTTTTTTGGGTAATTATTATTTGAATACAAGTTTTCTAATGATGTCATTTATTATCTCTCTATCTCTCTCTCTCTCTCTCTCTCTCTCTCACATACGAACACCTTTTCTGAGCCTTTCTGCTTGTACTATGATTATATTCGTGCCGAAAATTTGATGAGACTGAATATCTCCTTGTGATGTGATTTTCACCTTTACAGATATGAAGGAAGGTGTGGTTTACCATCTAATTTTGATGCCACGTATTGTTATGCTTTGGGTTATGCTGCTGGAGCATTGCTTGAAAGTGGAAAGACAGGATTGATATCATCGGTATGTGATTTTGCTCGTATACTTTCTCCCTATATGGCTCCATTTAGTTGTTTTAGCTTCATTCTGGACTGAATTTGAAATAGAACTTTCACCTCAGCTGCTAATATGGAAAAATCTTACAGCTCAATTTGGGATCAGGCTAACGTGTTCATATGACTTATTTTATCTATCCAGGTGGGAAACTTGGCTGCTCCAGTTGAAGAATGGACTGTTGGTGGAACAGCATTGACGTCTTTGATGGATGTTGAAAGGAGACATGGTATGCTGATTGTTCTCACGTCAAGTATCTTTACATTCACCTAGAAGCATTAATTCTTTTGCGAGTTATCCAACGAGTGGGTTGGGTTAATTGTAATTTGTAAGGGAACATTTTCATCCTGAATAGGTGTTGGCGTTGGATATTTCTTTTATCTAGTTTCGATAACTCATTTAAAGCATGTTCTGTTTTGCAGGGAAGTTCAAGCCTGTGATTAAGAAGGCAATGGTCGAGCTTGAAGGTGAGATTCTTTTTTTTAATTATGCACTCATTCGTGCATATTTGGTATTTTATATATATATATATATATATATATATATATATATATATATATATATATATATTTGTATGTATGTATGTACACGCGTGTGAGCACAGAGAGCAAAAGATGCCAAAGTCATTTTCAGAGTTGCTATCGAGTGACCTTGTAATAATGGTCAAGCTTGCGACAATTTTAAAACGATAATTATACGTATTTGAAATGACACGGCCAATTAAAAAATTTCTATGTGATTCTTCAATTCAGAAGAGCCACCCAATGTAACCCGGCAAAAAATAAAGAAAAAATCACAAAAGTTTCCATCAATATTTGATTTTACCTCAGCTTTCAGTTTCTCATTATCTTTGAGAATGGAGTCATAATTGGACGCTAGAGAATCATATGAGGACTTGAGTTGATCATAATCCCTTTCGAGCTGTTTGGTCTTCCATCGTGCACGGCGGTTCTGGAACCACACCGCCACCTGCCGCGGCTGCAGACCTAGCTTCTTAGCCAGCTGAGTTTTGCGATCTGGCTCCAGCTTGTTCTCCGTTTCAAAGCTTTTCTCGAGCAAGTGCACCTAAATCAACCCACCCCACCAATATTCAGTGAAATTATCAGAAGTTTGAGGTTGCATTCTCTTGATAAACTAACTGGTGTATTTGAATAATAAGATGCCTTTAGTTTTGTTTAGTCATTGGATCAGATTTTATCATCTTTATCGTTTAGTGCAAGTTGCAAGTTGGATACGCTGGACTAATTGTGTATATAATTGCAAGTTAGATCAATGAAGGAAAGATTAGCAGCCTGTTTCGGAGTGATTTTTTTGTCCAAAAAATTAATTTTTTGATTGTTATTTTATCATTCCAGCCTTCATATTTTACTTCTTATTTCATACGTGGACCCCACTTTTCTCCTAACGGTCAAAAAATCAATTTTCAAAATCCCTCCCAAATAGGCCCTAAAAATGTGCATGATAGATAATGATATAGCTTCCAGGCATAAATTCATGCTTCACTTGCTGGACATCATGTAGTATTGTTAATGAACCATAGAAAATTATGTCCTTTTCCGGTATGTATATATTTTTTCAAATTTATTTTTCTCAAATTCATTTTTAACATATTCTCTTAATAAAATAATTTTATACGTGTAAACATTAATTTTCCTATTTTTAACCACGTATTATTCAAAAAGCTAATTATTCTCAAAAAAATCTACCTCAAACATGTATTAAAGCATCAAATTTAGGGTTGTGAAATCCGAGGGCCACATAGTGCCATGCAATTAATGTTGTTTGTTTTTATAAATTATCAATTATTTTAGGGGAAAATTAAGAGAATAATATTGAAATTGTTATAAAATTAAAGGGAAGAGAGAAGATAAGAGAAGTAATAAATAGTTAAAACTCAATTGTATATTATTATGAACCAATGTCTTATATTTATAGGGTTCAAAATAAGAGTTACAATTGGAATAAAATAGATCTTTTAAACTATAGATAAGTTTTATCCATGTATCATGATAATACTAAATAATCATTAATAATTATCTCATTATTTTACAACCCTCTCCCTTTGATGATTATTTGTACAATAACTGCTTCGTTAAAATTTTGTTTGATAAAAATTCAGTGGGAAAAAAATCAAAAGAAGGAAAAAATGTACAATTATTTTGGAGTACTAAAAATAAATGCTGCCTCATTAAAATTTTGTTAGGAAAATTCAGTGGGACAAAATCTAAGCTAAGGAAAAAGAATATAGCTACCCCCACTGATGTTGATTACTGAAAATTATTGAGTCGACGCATTCCAATTTCATGAACTAATTTCTTGAATATAGATGTTGACCGTGCTTTTGTGAATAAATCGACCACATTGACACTTGGGCGAATTTGTTGGATATCGATATCGTCATTCTTTTGAAGCTCATGTGTATGAAAGAATTTTGGATAAATATGTTTCGTCCTATCACATTTGATATAGCCTTCTCTGAGTTGTGTAATATAAGCTCCATTGTCTTCATACAAAATTGTTGGACTATCCCTTGTTGAAATTAATCCGCATGATGCTTGGATATGATGGGTCATGTTTCTCAACCACACACATTCTCGGCCTGCTTCATGAATTGCAATAATTTCAGAATAATTTGAAGATATAACTATCAATGATTGCTTCACAGAACTCCATGATATAGTCGTTCCTCCACATGTAAACACGTAACCTGTTTGTGATTTAATTTTATGTGGGTAAGATAGATAATCTGCATCTGCATATCTCACTAAAACAGATCTCGACTTTTGAGAGTAAAATAATCTCAAATCAATAGTACCGTTTAGGTAACTAAAAATATGTTTAACACCATTCCAATGTCTTTGAGTTGGTGTAGAGCAAAATCTTGCAAGGAGATTTACAGAAAAAGATATGTCGAGTCGAGTGCAATTTGTAAGATAAGTTAATGCTCCAATTGCACTAAGATATGATACTTTAGGACCAAGAATTTTTTCTCCATTTTCGAGTGGACGAAATGGATTTTTTTTTCACATCGAGTGATCGAACAATCATAAGTGATGCCAATGGATGTGCATTATCTATGCAAAAACGTTTTAAAACTTTTTCTGTATATGTAGATTGGTGAACAAATTATCCATCTGCGAAATGTTCAATCTGCAATCCAAGACAAAGTTTGATTTTTCCCAAATCCTTCATTTCAAATTCATTTTTCAAATAATCAGTAGTTTTCTTGAGTTCTTCAGGAGTTCCAATTAAATTTAAATCACTAACATAAACTGCCACAATTGCAAATTCACTATTTGTTTTATTTATGAAAACATATGAGCAGACATCGTTATTTTTATATCCCTCATTCAACAAATATTCGCTAAGGCGATTATACCACATGCGTTCGGATTGTTTTAATCCATATAATGATCTTTGCAATTTAATTAAGAACATAGTTCTCGAGCATGTATCGTTTGTTCCTGTTATCTTAAGTCCTTCGGGGACTTTCATATATATATATGTATGTATATATATATGTGTATATATATATATGTGTGTGTGTGTGTGTGTGTGTGTGTGTGTGTGTGTGTGTGTGTGTGTCACTATCAAGTGAACCATACAAATATGAAGTTACTACATCCATAACCCATATATCAAGCTTTTGTGATACGGTCAAACTAATTAAGAATCTAAAAGTGATGGTGTCCATTGCAGGAGAATATGTTTCCTTGTAATCAATTTCTGGTCTTTGTGAGAAACCTTGAGCTACTAATCAGGCTTTGTACTTTGTGATTTCATTATTTTCATTTCTCTTTTGTACAAAAGACCTATTTGTATCCAACAGGATTACATTTTCAGGTGTTCGAACCACAGGTCCGAACACTTTTCGTTTCCCCAAATAGTTCAATTTCGCATGTATGACTTCTTTCCGTTTTGGCAAATCATTTCTATTTTGACATCTTTAACCGACTGTGGTTCATGATCCTCATTCTGTATAATATCAAAATCCACATTAAAGGCGAAAATATTGTCTATAACAACATTATTTCGTTCCCATAATTTATTAGATAACATATAATTTATTGAAATCTCATTATTTTAGAATACTTGTGGTTCTTCAGGAACCGTATTTTCAATATCCGATTGATCAATCTTTTCCAATGTAACTTCTTCCGAAATTTTTGGTTGGTTTTTCTTATGTACTTTTCTTTTTCGAGGTATAGAGTCTTTTGAATCAGATGGTTGATCACGCTTCTAGCGTATTTGAGATTCATTTGTTACAATAGATTGTCCTACATAAACATCAATCTTTGCTGGAATATTTTTTACTGGAGCATATGACTTTGTCACTTTTCTTGTGTTAACAAATACATTAGGTAATTGATTTGCAACTCTTTGCAAATGAATGATTTTTTCAACCTCTTGCTCATATTGATTGCTGCAGGGATCAAAATGAGATAGAGTTGTTTCATTCCAAGAAATTTTACCTTGTTTTTCAGGATATAGTTTTTCCCTTCCTAAAGTTGAGAAAGTCATTTCATTAAAATGACAATCTACAAAACGTGCAGTAAATAAATCACGTGTTAAAGGTTCAAGAAACCTAATAATTGATGGTGAATCAAAACCCACATAAATTTCAAGTTTTCGTTGGGGACCCATTTTAGTACATTGTAGGGGGGAGGGAAGGGGGTGAAATAGGAACTTGGACAGCACAATCAAAGACCCGTAGGTAAGAAATATCAGGTTCACAACCAAATGCCTGTTGCAAAGGTGAATATTGATAATAGACAGTTGGTCTAATACAAACCAATGATGCAGCATGTAGTATGACATGATCCCAAACAGAAGCTGGGATTTTTGTTTTCATAAGTAATGTCTAACAATAAGTTGTAGACGCTTAATAACCGACTCTGTGAAATCATTTTGTGTATAGACATGACAACTGAATGTTCAATTACAATCCCGATTGACATATAATAATCGTCGAAGCTTGTGAACTAAATTCACTAGCATTGTCAAGGCGAATAGTTTTAATTGAGTAATCGGGAAATTGTGCTCTTAATTTTATAATTTGAGCAAGTAGTCCAGCAAATACTACATTCCTAGTGGAAAGTAGGCAAACATGTGACCATCTAGTGGAAGAATCAACTAATATCATAAAATAACGAAATGGTCCACTTGGTGGGTGTATTGGCGCACATATATTTCCATGAATTCTTTCCAAGAAAGTTGGAGATTCAATATTGACATTTGTAGTTGAAGGTCTAATGACTAATTTGTATTGCGAACAAGCTACACATGGATAATCATTAGGTAAAACAATCTTCTGAATCTTTAAAGGATGTCCATGTGAGTTGTTTATTATTCGACGCATCATTATAACTCCTGGATGTTCAAGTCGTAACATTATTTAATTCGTAACATTATTTAATTCAACCATTTTTATAAATATAGAATACATGCCATATGGGAGTGCATGAAGTTTTTCTTTTATCTGTTTCTGACCAGATACAAAAGAAGTTATATAAAGATATTCGATATTATTTTCTTATGTCGTCTCAATATGATATCCATTGCAACAGATATATTTAAAACTAAGCAAATTTCTTCTGAATTTGCTAGAATAAAGTGCATCGTTAATATATAATTTTGTATTATTTGGTAAAATAATACAAGCTCTTTCGGAGCCTTCAACGATATTCGATGTATCTGATATTGTATTGACATTATTCTTTTTTAATGTTAAGTCCAAAAAAATATTTTTTGTCTTGAAGAATAGTATGTGTAGTTGCACTATCAATCAAGCAGGTGTCTTGACAATCTATCATGAATCTATCAATATAACAAAATAGATATATTTTTTAAAAAACTTGAATTTAAATTCAATATATAAGCATAATTAATACTGTGAAATTAACGATAGATAATAAAGTTCAAAATTTTTGTGAAAAGTAAAAACAGATTTTAAATTAAATTTCTAAAATAAAGGGAAATACTAGAAAAAAAAACTAATCTATATTTTTCATCACACCACCCCCAATCAAATGGTCAATATTTCTATTTGGATCAGCAAAGAAATCAGATACATCCAAATGAGTCACATCAATTGGACTATCATAGTCAGCAAAATTTGTCTCCACTTTTACCTTTCCCTTAAATGATTTTTGGTAGAGATCCACAAGGTGTTTTGCCATACAATAGCTACGTGTTCAATGCTCTTTCATTCCACATCTAAAACAACTTTCTTCATGTACCTTCTTAGGTGTGCTACTTTCATTTACTTTGTACATTTTGAAATAGTTGCACTGTTGTTGATAACTTTGTTGATTATTTCGTCAATGGTTTACTCTGCGTGTATGTCCAAATCCACATTTATGTTCACGTCCTTGTCTTGATATTGCATTTGCTTCAGGCAATACAGTACCATTTGCTTCAGGTAATGGTACAGAACCAGTTGGACGAACACATGATGTTTTATCAGCAGTTCATTATTCTGTTCAGTAACAAGCAGACAAGATATAAGTTTTGAGTACTTCTTGAAACCACGCTCGCGATATTGCTGCTGCAGGAACACATTCGAGGCGTGAAAGGTGGAAAAAATTTTCTTCAACATATCTTCGTTCGTGATTTTTTCTCCACACAATGTCAATTTTGAATATATTCTGAACAATTCAGAATTGTGCTCGCTAATAGTTTTGAAGTCTTGCAAATGAAGGTGCATCCACTCATAATGGGTTTTGGGAAGGATTATAGTCCTTTGATGATCAAATATTTCAGTTAATCTTTTCCAAAGAACCTGTGGATTTTTCTCAATAAGATATTCAATTTTCAGTCTATCATGAAGATGATGACGAAGGAAGATGAGAGTTTTTGCACGATCCTGCGGGGGTTCTTTATTTCCTTCTTTTATTATCTCTCCCAAACCTTTTTGAGACAAGATGGATATCAGCATCAAGTACCCATGATAAATAGTTTTTGCTAGAGATGTCAAGTGCAGCAAACTCAAGTTTTGTGATGTTTGCCATTTGATTAACTACATAATAAAGTAACAGAAAATATAATTAGTTTCGAAAAATATGATTAAACATCATATAATAATTAATCAAGTAGTCAATATCAATATGACATAAGTTACGTGTTTTCCTTCAAAGATAAATGCTAAAATAATATGTTCTTCGAAACATATGCTACTTCAGGAGCACGTATTTTATTATTATTTTTTCAAGATCAATATTTCAATATTTTTCTGGAATATTGAAAAATATAATTTATGCTCTTCAGGAGTGAATAATATTTTTCGAGAATATTAATTATAATGTCGTGCTACTTCGGGAGCAACAACAAATTATTTATAATAAATAAATAAAGTGCTAAATTCATAAATTATACTAGTATTAAAAGAATAGAACGTGATAATTAATTGAATGACAAATACTGCTTCAACAGATACAGTTACACGTGTAATAATATAAAATCATTACACAATTTTTATTTTATTTTATTGAAATATGTGTTGTTGGATATTAATTCCCGTCTTGCACATAAATTGAGAAAATACATGAATAATTCTTGAAAAAAAATTGATGGAATAACATAGATCAAATGAATTCATACACTGATATGACATTAATAAAAAAAAATGATTGAAGTGAAAAGTAATCATTACCTTTGCATGCTAAACTTTGGCTAAAATAAGTTAACAAAAGAATTACATTTAAACAATTACAAACAATTGAGGCAGGTCACGTAATAATGGGTGGCAGAATATGTTATTTTTGCTTTAACCATAGACCATTGTGTCTATGCAATAATGGGCGGCAGAGTCAAGGGACAAATTTAGACAGGTTACGTAATCACTTCTACAGAAATAATATGATTCCAATGTAAAATTCACGTGTTATCAAATTAATTTTGATACATGTGATAAATAATTATGATTAAAAAATTACTACCTTCTTCAAACTTTGAAAAATTAAGTTATCGTGCTGATAACGTGTTATAAAATTAAAGGGAAGAGAGAAGATAATAGAAGAAATAAAGAGTTAAAACTCAATTGTATATTATTATGAACTAATGTCCTATATTTATAGGGTTCAAAATAAGAGTTATAATTGGAATAAAATAGATCTTCTAAACTATAGATACGACTTATCCATGTATCATGATAATACTAAGTAATCATCAATAATTATCTCATTATTTTACAACAGAAATAAATTATAAATTTTAGCTTGTGTTGTTCATTTTCCAAGAAATTATTGGATAAAATTATAAGTTATTGAAATTATTAGGTGATAAAAAATGATTGATGGATAAGTGAGTAATAATATAAATTTTATGAATATGTGATTAAAATTAATGTTTAGCCGAAATTATAATTTTTTTCAAATACACATTAAGATAACAAATTTAGAAACCAAATATAAGGTTAAATAGCTCGTTCAATTGCATGATAAAACCAACACAAGATCCCAACACTGTAAACGTTACATACTCCAATTGAAGATTATTTCTAAGATTCCTAAGATGCAATGAAAAGACACATAATGGAGATATGATTGGCCAAGAATTTTAAAAATATGACACGGCCTCTTACTATCAATAACCCAAATGACTATTCACTTTGCAACTCTACGTCCCTAGTTTATGCCTATGATTCGATCATGTTTATAAACATTCAAATCGTTTGTATCCATAGATGTCAAGTGACCCAAAAATACAACCCGTCACTCATTATATATAAATGCTTCCCAAACATACTTTTTGTATATAATCTACCCATCCCCCACCCCACCCCCTCTTGTCGTCCCCCCTTCTGTATCAAGTCTAACTTCAAAAGCGAATCAAGTGACTATTGAATCAGACAAGATACCAAACTTGGCAATCGGTGTGTACCAATAAATCCAATATGCTCCAATTATTGCCTATGGACATATATGCTAAATTGAGGAAGTGGAAAATTCTAGATCACAATAATATTTCATATATGATGTCATTATTTCAATGATTTAAACCTGGAAAATACTTTCCTCGTGTAAATTACATAACATCGAAATTGTCTGTTTTTATTGCATCTTCAAGTTTTGGTCCAAAGTAAATCATAAAGGGACAAGTTTTCGTCCATAATATGTGTTGACATGCTAAAAGTGCAGCCAAATTCAAATAACCCAAAGAATGAAGCTCAACTGGACAATTCAAGATAAATACCCAAATAGGGTTATTAATGAATGCAGTGGAAACCCACAAACGCGGTAACATCATCGCCCAAACTTACAAGACGCTCAGGATCTGAGCGAATGAAGTGCCTTGCAGTCGCCCAGAGTTATGACCCTGTTCTCGTCCAAACTTTCGAATCGCTCAGGATCTTAGCAAACATGAGATGTTATGGTTGTCCAAAAGTGCAATTATCAAAGCAGTTATTGGGTAATCTTATCACGTTTCACGATTTAAGGATGTTCAGTTGAGGACGGTTGAACGACAAAGAGTAATGGCAGCAGTTAGAGACGGCAGTTCCACGATAAGTTGGCCACCATGAAGAAAGTGGGCAGTTATAAAGCAATTAAGCGGTTGATCACAAAGAGAGCATCAAAGGAATATAAAAAGAAGAAAAGACATAGAGCAAAAGACCCCGAATCAAACACTCTCAAACAGAGAATATGTAATTTCAATTTCTTAGTTTAGACTTTAAACATTTCTTTTCAGTACTCGTGTGCTTGCGTCCCTTGGAGGCATTTCTGTTTAAATTCCAATTGTAAAGTCATTGCCAATAAAACACCTCTTTTTGGGACTTTGTCTCAAGAGGTTTGTCCCTTACACAATTGTCTGACTCCTTTTTAATTGTTAGCGACTACCTGCGCGAAACAATTTGGCACGCCCGGTGGGACATTGGTGTTTGGTGTTGAAGATAGAAAAGGTGAAACAATATGCTTCAGAAATCCGATAAGGAAACGGCAAGCCAGGGAGGAGTCCAATCTGTGATCAAGCGATATGAGGAGCAGCATAGCTCTCCACGAACAGATGGACAGGATCAGAGCAATCACAGTCGCTACGAACCAATGACAGAGTTGAGTCCTCGAACCATGCGTGCATTACTTGGAGAACTCACACAAGATGTCGTTGAACAGGTAAATCTACGAAGTATTCATAATATAGAAAGATTTACCCAGAATGGGAATGCACATTATGATAACATGGCCAAATAACTGAATACTTTGAACGAAATAATGAATAAGTTGGTATGCCAAATTTGTCAGCCAGTTGTGTCTCTTACAAACCACTTTCAAACTAGGACAATTGTGGGACATAATCCCCCAGTCCTAAGTTTGAATCAAGGGGTAGAACCACCTTTTGATCCCTCTACTTCAAACCAGAGAGGTGGTGCAATACCAAATCAGAATAGTGGCATTGGTACGTCTAACTTGGGGGGTAATCCAAATATAAGAGATAATGTCCTAAATACTGGGAAGAATACCCCACGTGTTAATGAGGGAATAAATGTTCAGGCTAATGGTAACAATGACCCAAATCATGGTAACTTTGTTCCCAATCAAGGACCAAACATCAGGCTTCAAGCAAATTAACCGGTCAACCAACCTGGAGGGATTCCATATGACCCCAACGTCATGTTGAGGAATCAGATTATGAAAATCGTACAGGACCAGATGGCTTTCGGAGTACGTCCTGTCATTAGGCTGACTTACACAAAGTCATATCCTGATTGGGTAGACCAAGCATATCCGTGGCCTAGAGGGTATAAAGTACCAGAATTCTCATTGTTTACCGGTTTAGGAGAGGTGTCTATTCTAGAACACATAGGGCGATTCACACTGCAAAGTGGTGACGTAACTGATTACCATAAAATGAGGCTATTCCCTAGTTCATTAACAGGAGTAGCCTTCTCCTGGTTCATCAATTTGCTAGCAAACTCTGTTCAAACATGGCAACAATTGGAGCAATTGTTCCACGCTCAGTTTTATAAGACTGAGTTTGAAATTACTTTGGCCGATTTGGCGAATCTACGTCAAATGCCAAATGAATGGGCAGAAGGTTTCCTTCAAAGGTTTAAGACAGCAAGAAGTAAATGTTTTGTACCTTTGCCCGAAAAGGAGTTTGTCAAAATCGCTCAAAGTTGTCTAAACTTTGATTTGAAGAAGAAGTTCCAAGACAAGGAATTTCTTGATCTTTTCCAATTGAG